GAGAGGGGAGGAGTAAGAGGAGGGCACTGGGGCTACTTCCTTGTTGCCGGGTAGATCTGCAACAAGCCCGGGCATGTCCGTAATAGGCACTCAAGAGTTCTAGCGGGGGGGGGGGGGCAAGGCCCCCCAACACCTTCTGATCTCTATTTGCTTTCTTCTCCATTCTGCTTCCGGACTCAATTCCACGGCTTCCTGGCCTCTGCATCTGGGCTGCCCGCTGGCCCACCTCCTCCACTTCACCTGCCCGATTCCTACTTTCCCATCAGCGTTGCACAGATAAATCCAGCGAGAGCTGGTCAGAGAAGGCAGGTGGGAGGGCAGAGCCAGCTTCCTCGAGAAGGACAAAAGCCTTTGCAAGAGCAAGAAGCTGAAGACAGAAGGCAGGGGATGTGGAGGGCACTGAAGAAGCTGAGTCCTTTGGGAGAAGGAGGGGAGGTGCTGGGAGCAAAGCAGGAACTCGAGGCACCTCAGGAGGGAGAAAGCAGCAAACCGGGATGTGCACAGAGCACCTCCCAGTCTGAGGCTTGCTGGAGCCCTGGGGCTGGGAGAACCATTGGATCAGGACCTTGGGGCTCAGAGGGTGGGGCCTTTGTGACACTGTCATGAGCTATTCGATTCCGAGGCCAGCCTGGCCCTGACTTCAGGGACCTGGACTGTCTGCGGTCTGTGCGGTACAACACTGGCCATGGAGGGCTGGGATGGGCAAAGTTTCGCCTGGGAAGGCATGAAAGCCCCTGGCTCTGCTTCCCCCATCTGCAAAAGGGGCCACTCCCACCACCTGCTTCCCATGTCGGAGCCTTCTGGAAACCAGAAAGAGTTATACAATTTCAGGGATTATGATTGATATCAAGGGTAGTTCATAGATGAAATGGTTTTTTCCTCCCTGGGTTCTTCCCAGAAAAGTTTAGAGGAAATTATTTTGAAATGCTTTGATCCACTTGGCAGAAAGGTACCGAATAAATTAAAGATGTCATGGCGCATTAGTCCTTGTGCTTTGGAACTGAGGGTGACCAATTTTATTCAATAGCTAGTGACAATCTTTTGGAGTTGCTTAAAGCCCCTGAGCCCCACCAAGTCCTGGCCCTGAGCCCAGCCCCCTTCTTCCTGATCCCCGCTGAGTCTCCTCCCATAAGACCCTGAAATAGGGCCCAGGCTCCCTGTGGAGGCCTCTCAAAGGCTGATGCCCCGTTTATGTCTCCATGCTCCTCGGTTGGTGCCTGGGTTTCTGCTCCTGGTAGTGCTGTGACTTCGGGCTGTGGCTGAGGTCGTGTCCCACTCTGTGCCGCCCCCAGTGGCCTTACTACAGGTGGCCAGGCACTTCCCCAGCCTCCCCGAGTCCATGGCCACAGCCTCAGTGAAAAGGGTCTGAATCTTCATCTGAATCTTCCAGACCAGGTGGCTGAGGTAGAGGAAAGGGCCTCAGTGCTGTGAGATCCAGGCCCCTCCCCAGTGTCCCTCCCCAGGCCTACCTTCTTCCACTCTGGTGTTTTTCATCTCTATGGAAGCTGGGGGTCCTGACAGACCCTCACAGAGACATGAGGACCAGCCCCATGAAAGTTGGTTCTTAATCAATAAATATGCTGGTCTCCTGTTGCTCTGAAATTCTTTTCTAATTTAAATGCCTGCTACCAGTCTGAAGGCCTATGGGGTTTGTGCTGTTCCTTCTGGTTTCCTCCTGAGGCTGCAGCCTACTGCTCTTGCCTCCTTGGGGGTGGAGGTGAGCATTGAGCTTTTGGATCTCTTGTCCCACCATGAGTTCTACAATACTCTCTGAAGGAATTCAGAATTTGAATTCAGAATTCAGTCACTGGAGACCCAGTGGTCGGGGCCCTAGTGAGAGCTGGGGCCCCCTCCCAGGGGATCCTCCCTCACTGGGAACCCCGCTGCATGGACCACAGTTGCCACCCCGCCTCTGCTGAAGTGATGCTTCGCTGCCTTACACCCCTCTTCCACACATGTATCCTGGGCCCATTCCCGCTGTCACACCTCATTCTGCTTCTGTGAATGCCTCTGTGATGGTGAAATTCCGGTGGCAGGGACAGCGGTTCAGTACTCATCTCCTAGGGCTGCAGTAAGAGTACTGTATCACAGACTGGTAGCTTGAAATTTGCTTTCTACAGTTGTGGAGATTGGGCATCTGAGATCCAGGAGTAGGTGGGACTGACTTCTTCTGAGGTCTTGCTCCTTGGCCTGGGGATGACCATGTCCTGTGTCTTCACATGGTTTTCCTTCTGTGAGCATCTGTCTAAGTCTCCTCTCTTTATAAGAACTGAGGTCGTACTGGATGAGGGAGGGGCTTGGTCTGGGCCTGGTACCTTCTCTTTCTGGCTGCTTTGAATAGCAAGAAACAAAACTGTCACGCAGCTCACTTTAAAAGAACTGAGAGCTATCTTTTTAAATCTGTATCATTTATTTATTTATTTATTTGGTACTGGGGAGCAAACTCAGGACCTTGTGCTTGCGAGGCAGGCGCCGGAACCACTGAGCTAAACCCCTGGCCCCTGAAAGCTATTCTTTTATAGGAAAGCCTGTCAGGAGTCAGAGAGCTGTGAGGTCTGCTCTGCAGGATCTCAACTGGGAGAATTCGAAATAGTAGTAGGATGGGCTGCCTGAGCAGGTAATGAGCTCCCAGTCAGTAGAGAAATCTAAGCAGAAATGGGTTTTTGGAGAGGAGATTCAGGCATGGTTTGTGCCTGGACTGTGGGTAGTGGAGTTTTTCTCAAAATGAGTCTTTGATTCTACGAAAGAGTTTGAAGGAAAGGAATTTTATTTGGAAGCACTAGCCACGATGTCTCTTGTGTTTTGTGATGGAAGCTGGGTCCAATCTGATGTTGGTGCTTCCTGTTGCTCCTTATTGCTGTTTCTATGGAAAAGTTGACGTGAGCATCAGGATAGCATTGAAAGCAGAGTTGAGCATTCAACTCTCTGGGATATCAAAGTGTGAGCCAATAAATGGAGTCGGACAAGAGCTCTCTCTCTCTCTCTCTCTCTCTCTCTCTCTCTCGTGTGTGTGTGTGTGTGTGTGTGTGTGTACTGAAGAACTTTACAAGAATCTGAAGAGACTTGGAAAGAAACTCATTATCCCCAGGACGGTTTATTTTTACTTAGACTGAATCACTATCCTTTCTCTCTCTGTGGCCTACACTGGCATCAGTGGTGTATGATTATCCTTCTTCTGCTCTGAGCCCTGTCTGCATGGATGAGGATCACAGAGCGTCCACACTGATGCCACCTGGAAGTTGGTGAAGGCACAGTGAGAGCTCCCTGTGATTTCTTTGCTTCCCTGCCGGACGGAGCTGCGTTGCTACTCTCTGGTGCCATTTCTGTAATGTTTCTGATTGTCTTCCTCAGGGTTAGTTCAGCAGAATAAGTCCTACCTGTCCCACCAGGGTCGACCATGGACTCTCCTGAGCTGGCTCAAGACCAGCCAGAGAGCAGCGTGGCCAAGGGAACTCTGTGAGGAAGGCCGTGTGTGAGGTGATGAGCTATGGGCCCTTCCCAATCCAATGGAGGAGACAGTTCCTTCCAGGACCATGAAAATGGGGCTTTAGGGAAGCTTCCCTTAGCCATTACTGCATAGCTGCAGACAACTGACCTTGGCATCTGCCCTGGAAAGTCAGTCACCGCATTAGTCAGCTTCCTCTCTGCGCCTTCTGAAGCGTGCGGTGGCGCCCTCTACTGGGTGGAGGCTCAAGATTCTTGCGCATTGTATGAGATGTTTGGCTCATGGGTGGTTTTTCACGTGCATAACTAACTGCTAAGGGGCAGGGAGTGTAAAATCTGGATTGTTTACCTTCAGGGATTAATACTCCATCAGAACCTAGTGTTCCTACAAGGCCTCGCTTCCCCAGGTGCCCGTCTGCCCGTTGACTTTCAGCTCCAGTGGCCACTACTGGTGACTTTTGAAGGACACCGGAGCTCTGTTGCATCTCCTTGCCTTGGAGGATCCATGAGCCAAACACCCTGATGGGCTCTGCAGCTCGTTGGAGACAGGGCCTCCTTGCAGGCAGTGGAGCAGTTTCCGGCTAATGCGGGTTCTAGATGAGGAATCCACCTATCTCCTGCGTGCCTTCCAGATGTTCGGGTCCTTATAACCTGGCTCAAAATGGCTTACCTACTAGCCTAGTTCAGGTGAACCTCGAGGACTCCACAAACAATGCTGGGAAGAGAGTATACTCTGCCTGTGGTGCTCCATATCAGAAAGAAGCAGATTGGAGCCATGGATGCCTTCCTGAGGGAGAACTCATGTCATTCTTACCCTTCCGGAGGAAGCTCAGGCCTCCCTGGAACAACGGTGCCATTTAAGGACGCCCTGTCCTTTCATTTTAACCTTGGAAATAATAAAAGTGGAAGAGGGGGGCGCAGGAGTGGTGGTGCATATCTGGGGGTGCCAAGACAGGCGGATCTCAAGTGTGAGCCTAGTCTGGGCAACTTAGCTACTGAGCAACGCCTATGTCCAAATGAAAAATAAAAAAAAGGGCTGGGGATATAGCTCAGTGTGAAGCCCTGCATTCAGTTCTCAGTACCAAGGAAAAAAAGTGTTAGGTAGGTTTGGCAACAGTAACAACGTCAGAATTAGAACCAAATTCTCTGATTTCCTGGCTAGTGTCTGGTACCCTGAGGAGTCCCAGCCCCTGGGACATCTGTGCAGCTGGAATGGGAGGGGGGAGTGAGGACTCCTGCTGGGAAAGGGGGAGGGGCTCAGGAGGGAAATGGGGTCTCTAAGTGTGGCCCATGGCTTTGACAAACCTTTGACTCAGAATATTCTCTGTTCTCTCTGGGCATCTTCTGTTGCTTCCCCTAGCTGACCTCATTGCCATGGAAACAGAAGGGGAGGGACATTTCTGACTGGGGCTCAGCAGTCCCTGTGCCCTGGCTTCCTGGAAAGCAGCGTGGGAAGCAAAGGGAACTGTTATCTTAGAAGGATCCCCAGAGCCTTGTTTCTCAGCTTGGAGTCAGTATGATGTATTGGTGTGACTTTGTAGAAAGAAATTGAAATATCTTGGAAAATTCCTGCTGCTCCCGTTGCTCAATGATGTCTACCCAAAGGTATGTTCATATTGGCTGCCATTTTTACCATACAGCTTCCTGATCTCTCCTTTTTTTCTCTTGATACTACCATTTTCAAGTATGAGTATAATCATGTACTTGTAAGCTCAAGTTTTACCATGAAAATATCAAATGAATCATGTTTACAGGTAACAGGGAGAAATGCATGTAAACTACCAATAAACTGTAAAGTTCCCCTGTGATTGGATCCCCTACCCAATGATGGTTTCCATCTTTCCTAGCCCCCAAGTTCTTGCCCCATGGCATTCAGGTATTGCTGTATTGTATAGGTCACACCAATCGTTTTTGACTGCTGCACTGTATCCTGGAAGATCACTTTTGAAGGCAGCTGTTCTGACCTACTCCTCTCCAACCTGGCACTCATCCAGGGCATGTGGTACTCAAAAGAGGAAGGCAAGGATGCTAGCCAGGCCAAGGCTCCAGGAAGGACGTTGGCAGGTCCTGAATGGGGAGACAGGGTGGGGGAATTTTTTTTTTTTGCTGGGGACAAAGGAGAAGCTGTGAAGACCCGGGCTGCACTCCAAGCTCCTGTGGTTGATCTCTGCTGCCTGTCCCATGGCCTGTGGTCTCCTTCTCTTGAGGGTTCTTAGCCTGGTTCCTTCTTAGGATGACCCCAGGCAGCCACTGTAGAAGATGAGGCTCTTGACCTACCCCTGGTGCCAGATGTGCCTGTCCGGGGGGCAGCCAGGTGGAGAAGGAGAGAAAACCCTAGACAGGGTTGGAGGGTCACTGCTGTCCTGAGCCCTCACCAGCTGGAGAAGCAGCACTTTCCCCCAGGGCAGATTAGGTAGAACACCCAGATTTCTTTTCCCAGAAAACATAGGGCAAGGAACAATAAAATACCCAATGTTTTGAGTAAGTATTGTCCAATACTGGGACCAAACTGTCCTCAGTAGTAGAAGCCAAAAATGGCTGCCCATGCTTCTTCCTTAGTTGCCAATGCCATTTAAAGTTGAAGCCCCATCTTCTCTTATCTCCATCGAAACCCTAGGTCTCTTAGGTTAACTTGCATGTATATTATCTTAATTCTAAAAATCAGCTCTGCAAAGTAAAATAGTCCTCATTTTGAAGACCACTATACAAACTTAGGAGCAGGGCCTTGACATATTCCTTTCAATATATTTTCCCCATACAAACTAGGCTGTCTTACGATGAGTCAAGTGTGTCCTGTTTGGACCCAGAGATGCCCTCAACTGTGTGATTAGGAGAACAACTGAGATGATTCCTCTCCTCAGTTAAATGGAAGAGAAATTAAGTTATTCTCAGGGGTCCAAGAAGGCATGATTAATAAGCTGAGGCCGCAGGAAGACAAAGTTGAGAGCCATATATGAGGTATAATAAGATGAATATTTAAGTTTTAAAAAATGTATTATAATAAAAGACACATTACCATTAATCCCCCTCAAAATACACCCCTTGCTTCAAACACACTTATCACGTTGTACTTGCTACTTTCCCAAGCAGTTCTGGAAGTTCTTTTTTTGTGTCTTTACTTGCGCTGTTATGGCTGCCTCGATGTCCTGAATTGATCCAAACATTTATCCTCCATGGACATTTTGGCTTTGGGGAAGAGGCAGAAGTGACACAATGAATCAGGTGGATGTAGTGATGTAGTCATGTTTTCACCAGCCTGGCTTTACATTAGATGGCACTTGGCAACAGCAGTCACAACATTTTTTTAAATCAGATTCTGTAAACACATGAAAGAAGACTTCTAGAATTGCTTCAGAAAGTGGCAAGAATGCTGGGATGTATTTGAAGGGAGGGGGCTATTTTGAGGGGGTTGATGGCAATGTATGTGTCTTTTACTGTAATACATTTATTTAAAATGTAAATATTCACCATATATTTTGATCAGATCTTGTATATGAACAATAAGAGCTTTCTGAAACTTAATCTCTTGAGTAAGTGAGTTTTCCATCATGGATGATGTTTGAACAAAGGTTGGGTGTTACAGAAAAGATGCAAGCATTTGCTAAAGGGGTGGGTTAAATGCCTTTTAAGATGCCTTGAGAATGAGGGACAGTTAACCTTGTCCCCCAGGACCAGAGGCCTGGAGAGTTTGTGATCATGCACAACTAAAGCCCACCCTCCCCCAGCCTATGCCAAGGCCTAGGGCCCAAGACACTAGGGGCTCCAGCCCAGCTAAGGATTCCATAGTACTCTAGGATGAATGGGCAAAAATTTTAAATTACTAATAATGTTTAAGTAGCTAAAGCCCCAGTGGTGTC